ATGTACCAATCTGTTACCTGGCTTGACTGCTTTCATTACAGCCCGCGATGACTTCAGCACGGCTTCATAGATAGCCCTCTGGTCAGGAGTGAATTTTCCATTTGCAGGGAAGGTGCAGGTGATGTCGGAGCTATAGCAGTAATACTCTCCTCCCATATCGAACAGGCTAAAAAGGAAGCGGGGGGGGGGAAGAAATTAAAATTTAATTCCAAAGAAATAGAACAGAAGACATTTCTCTTGCTCTGCACTTAAAAGTCATCTGCATTTTGGTAGTTGGCCATATAATCACCACTTGAATGCTGTTTCTAAGTAAAATGAGACGACAGTCCCTTGGAATCTCCTAGCAGAAGGGTATCTGCATTACATATGGTTTAAATGGACACCCTTACAGGCTGCACTGGTCCTGAATGGAAACACTGAGAGAACGCATGAAGGAAGACAAAAAGTACGTGAGGAATCCACTTCAAGCTCTTCAGTTCCAGTTTCTAGGGCCTCTTCTGAGAAGAAAAAGCATGTCCTTTTTTTCTTTCCTGAGAAATGCTAGCACCACGTAAAGGGTCTAACCTCAAAACTTAACAGAGAAATGTTAAATTATGGCCTTTTGTATCTAAGTGTCAAAACACAACTAATGGTTTAAATAAAATGTCCCCAATAAAGGTTGACTGCCACTGCTCACAATATAAACTTTCCTTTAAGGCAAACTTGCCTAACAGGGATTAAAGAAACAAGGATTATGGGAAGATCCAACCAGAAAACAACATTTAGTACAGTTTTCTGCATCAGAGGTAGAAGAAAAAAAAGTATATTAAGTACTTTCTTTTATGGGGACAAAAAAACTGTTTCACCCCTTGAGAAGCATATTTATTCTATACATGAATCAGTAATTCACCACTGATTGCTCAGCTGCCAGAAGTCAATCTACAAGAATAGCAAGTGGGTCTCTACACCCTTGTGAGAACCAGGTTAGACATTTGCTATACCATGCTTTTTGAGTCTACCTGATAAGGTACTGCACTGGTTTCAGCGGGGTCAAAAAAATCAGCAAATAACCATTTGGACCAAACAATACTTGAGCAAATAACACCCCTAGTTCATCATGTATTGATTACAAGAAGGCACATTTTACATGTAAGACTTTGGTCTTGACACATAGTATTTGTGTGACCTCATTTCTAAGGTAACAAATCAGAGTTGAAATCTGCTAATTTAAGTCTTCTTCCAACCACCTCAAACAACTGTATGAGACTCTTATCATCATAACAAATATAATTTTCCTTCATTGTGTTTGAAAACCTTGGAGTGTTCTTCCTCTTGCTTCTGCTTCACAGCAGCGTCAGTCAAACAACAGGAGCAGAAGGAAGGAAGCTCCCCTGGGGCACCCTCTCTGCCATCGAGTCCTAATTACATCAGTAATTAGGAAAACCGTGCAGCATAACTCTGTCCCCAGCCAACATGCATGATTAGGTAAAGATAAATATAAGCTACCACAAAAAGGGCTACAGCACAGCTGTAAATGTTCACCATTTCCAACATAACTGCCACTGAAAGCAATGGACTATAAGTAAACGAAGTCAATCATGATAAAGCAAAATAATATTTCAGCAGGGTTGGACTCTTTTTGCTGCATTGCATACACACATACTCATGAAGATTTAGTCCAAGAAATTTTAAAATCCGCCCTACAATTTCCTCCGTGAACAAATCTTTGCACTGAGTGCAAGCCCGGCTGAAGTCATCGCCAGCCTCCCCAAACTGGGCAAGGTTCACCTGCAGAGATACTTGCAGGACTGGAACTTCAGGAACAAACCCAATGGTTTACAGATGCAGAACTGCACAAGGCTTAAAGCTACAGGAGCAAACTCCTTAGGAGATTGCTGCAGAGAGAACTGCAAAGTTATGTATGTACATGCAGAGCTAATACAAACACTATATACATTCACCTAAATATGAAATACAGTATGTTAAAACAGAAAGTTGCTAACTGAAAAAAGATACACAATAGACAGCAAATGTCAGACCCACAGGGTAAAAAAACCCCGTGATTTGACAGCAACATAGCAACTGTAAACCAGCCCAGCCAAACCTCAAAATCAGAAACCCCATCAACACTGCCTAAGTTTTGATTTTATGGTTGGATTTATTATGGATTTACTTCTAAAAATAACTAATGATACACACAGAAAAATCTAAGGATACAGAAAACTAGTTGCAGCAACTAAGAATCACGTAAGAAGCTGCTACATTCTCTAATGTGCCAACAAAACACTGATTTTGGATTACTTATAAATCTTTCAACCTATCCCAGACTGAACCCTTTCAAAATCACAAACCAAATTTCATGGTGCTTTGTGGGATTTTCAGCAGTTTTGTGGCCTAATTCTGTTGCATTTAGAAGTGTAAGTGCATGGTGACAGTAAAGCTGTAACCAACAACTTCCAAACTCCCTGTCCATGTCTACTGGAAGTTGCTATGCTTTCCATATTTTACCGGGAGAGTAGTTATTCTGAACTTACTACAGGCAAAATTTTAGCTATGTCTTTAAGCTTACAATTATCAGCGTTTTCTCAAACCCATTCATCACTCGGTGGTTGTTAAGTAGTTTTTCGAGTTACTGGAGCACTGAGTAATGGAAAAAAAATATCACAAAGCTGATGGTACACCAAAACAAGGCTCACAAGCTAGGAAGCACCATTTGTTCAGGTTTCTTGGCTTCCAGACAAGAGGAGACATGAGGGAAGATGATCTTTCAAATTCCACCTCAGAGCACAACACACCATCCAGCCTGTATGCTTCAGTGAAAAAGCATCCAAACCAAACTGTACATTTGGGAGATATTTTGGCTCTTATTGGGAATTCTCTTCCATTTAACTTCAGTTGGGAACATATCCATTAGTTAAAATGTTGCCCAAGACATGGAAATAGCCCAAATATTGTAGTTATCCTGAGGAAATAATGGCAGCCTGAGAAGATCCCAGTTTCATATCTTTGCTTGCCAGGCAAAATAAGTGGTGAAGCACATTTAAGTTCAATAAAATGCATGTGAGCTACTATCTTCTCCTGTTGACTAACTGGAAAAGTTTCTAAAAGCAGGTTCTTTAAATCCTGGTTCCTTAGAAAAAATACATTTATTTTACCCTGAAATTAGATGGTTAATTCTAGTAAACTGCCTGTAAAAGAGATATTATTAATGCATTTTAGTACGTTCTTGCATGTACAAAATTACCTGCCTGATAATGCAGTCTTACAAGGGTCACGTACAGAAACAACTACTTAATTATTTGGACTAAACAAATCTAAACAAATTAAATGCACAAATGAAAATAGGCATTACAGGCATCTTGATACACGGCTTACCTTTGAAGAACTATTTAATGTAGAGTAACATATGCAATAATATAACAAAGTATCTACAAACTATTAATTTATCTAAAAGGGAAATATGTGCTACACGTCTAGCAGACTGTATATGTTGTCTATTACAAAACTTAATTGCGAATTCAGTTTTCTGTTGAATGAAGAAAAATTTCATTCCAGAACAAGCCTTTCCCCACTCTTTTTTCAGGAAGGATGCAGTTGTTAATTGCCGATTTCAATGAATGCAGGGGTGATGTGTCCGAGTTGTCAGGTTTCTGAGGCGCCTGGGATGGGAAGGCGGCCAGAGAAGGAGTGTCGCTGATCACAGGGAGGCGTGTGGTTGTATGTCAGAGTGCTCACTGATTTAGCTTGAAGCTGATGAAGTCTTTTATTGCACAGCTCAATCTCTTTCAAACCTTCCGAGAGAGAAGCTAATCTTGCTTTGCATCACTTTGTTGGGAGCAAAAGCAACGAAAACCTACCTGGCTTTCACACCTTTTCAGGGTGAAAAGTGCATGGTGTATAAAGCAGATTTAACAGGCAGAAGACCTGAGCACTCTCTAAAAAATTCCATGTTAGTGTTTCAATTTGTTCTCTGGAATTAATAAGAAGCTATACTGCAAGTAAAACACGCATAGCAAAAATATTCTAAACTCCTTGGAAACATGGGCATAGCTCTCCTAAGGGAGGCCTCAGTTCTGTGTACATATATAATCTTTCCCCCTAAACATATTGCAAAATACTGTAAACATTATTAACTAAAACTGAACAATGCGAGCTATGAAAAAAATCAGATACCTGTCAGTTGCTCTACTGACAGAATGACTTGCTTACCTATCATTAATACAATGTTAGCCAACAGCATCAAAAAAAAAAGTTGCCTTCTGCATCTGTTTTAGAAGTCACCTTCAAAAATGACTAAGAGCATGTCATTCCTTTCACAGGGAAAAGGTCTGACACCACAACTTAAAATTATTTTGTACATAGGACAGGATCAAGTCTGCAAGAAGCAGAACCACGTGCCGCATGCCACAGCCTTGCAGAAAGGATCGGCTGGATGTGACCCTCCTTACAGGAGCTTCTTAGCCCGTCCCCAGCAGGCCCTGGTGCTGCTGGCAGCAGCCCTTCCGCATCCAGCCGAACTGGGGTGCTGCTCCCTGTGCAGGAACCCAGGACGGGAGTTTGGAGATGTCAAGTCCTGTTGATTTTAAAGTGAATACAGGCTTGTAAGTCAGTACTGTAACTGAAACGCTACACAACATGATCCACAAAAGCTCTTTTCCCCTCCCATCCCTCTGAAACAATACGGATGAGTAAGACATGGCCGTGTTACTTTCACAGAATACTGGCACCACAAAACGCATATTTATAATTACATTTTTGGCTTTCAAGCAAGGAAAAATAATACGCATTTTGATACAGCTTTCTTAACCTCTGACTGTGAAGCATCACAAAACACTTTGCGTAACACTTTAGATTTAAAAACTGTGGACTATAAATGGCTTCATAAAGTCACTGTATAGCGTATTTTTAAAAATGAAGCATCATCTTCCTCTAAGCATGTGTTTTACTTTTATAGGCTTGCTGACACTTTTATTGCCAAATAATTTGAAACTGCCAGGCAATGAAGCAAATGATGGCCAATATCACAATGGGAAGCAATACTTTATTTGGGATATCTGAGCCATGTGTATGAATAGTTGTGATCCAACCACCAACCCAACCCAAAGACAAGCTCTCGCAGGCATTTCTCGGGAAGCCTACAGCTACTCCCACGAGCTAACACGTAAAGCTGTCACCTTCCTGCTCTAC